CATGATCTTCAGGAAAATTGTGACATTGATGTGCATCAAATTAGTTCAAGTGACAATCCAGTAGATTGTCTTTACCAACATCAATTTTTGAGAATATGGTATACAAGATTGGAATGCGGAGACTCAAATATTTGAAATAAGGTTTTCTTCAGGGGGAGTAAAATGCGCGTTGTACTCTTTTTCCCTTACTAAGGTTTTTCCCACAGGGTTTTCCTTATAAGGTTTTTAATGAGGCAGCCAGCAATGCGTATTACTAAATATGTGTACTCTTTTTCCTTCACTAGGATTTTTTCCCACGTGGTTTTTCCTAGTAAGGTTTTAATGAGGCACATTATCTTTTAATGAACATCCGGGGAGTGTTATAAATATATTATATTATGGATGTTCATTTAGTACTCCATTGTAAATAAGCTTCCTGAAGAAGCTTATCCATGTGGGACTCCACCGTAAATATGTTCATCTATTTAAGTACTCTATTGGAAATAAGCTTCCTGAAGAAGCTTATCACTTCGATACCCGGTTATGGATAAACATTACCCCCGGTAAAAGATTATCCATACCGGGTATAATAAGCTTATCCTTTCAGTACTCAGTTATAGATAAACATTACCCCCGATAGAAGATTATCCATACCGGGTATAATAAGCTTATCCTTTCAGTACCCAGTTATGGATAAATATTATCCCTGGTAGAAGATTATCCATACCGGATATAATAAGCTTATCCTTTCAGTACCTAGTTATGGATAAACATTACCCCCGGTAGAAGATTATTCATATCGGGTATAATAAGTTTATCCTTTCAGTACTCCGTTATGGATAAACATTGCTCTCAGTAGAAGATTATCCATATCTGGTATAGTAACAGCTTACACAACAACTTCCTTTCTTCTATAAATAGAAGAGATTTCAGTTCATTATGTACATCAGTTTGAATCGAATAATATATCAGTTTCTCTCTATACTTGTCTTTACTTTATAGTCTTTATTTTACAAAGAGTAAACATATTTTATTTACAAATAGGAACACGCACATATATGTGCTAGGAAAGAAAATGTTACGATCTATCGACATTTTGTGCAACTTAACATACAAAATTATCTATCATTAGATGGACGAGATTAGTGGGAACATGTTGTATATATACAATAACAACAACAACAACCCAGTGAAATCCAACTAATAGGGTCTGGGGAGGGTAGTGTGTACGCAGATCTTACCCATACCTCGAAGGGGTAGATAGACTGTTTCCGAAAGACCCTCGGCTCAATAGTACGAAAGGACAAAAGCATAGAATATTAGTATCGCCACAGAAATAATACGAAAAGAAAAAAAATGAACATGAAATTCAGAAGAAAGCTGCAAAAAAAAGCGATAGCTATTAAATACGTCATGCACTGAAATAGTAAGACACAACAATGTCACTAGCTATCTTAGGTAAAAACCCTATCAGACTAGTCTCGCAAAGGTATAAGTAAGGCAAGACTCAACTACCTTCTAGCCTACAACCTTAATACTCGACCTCCACAACTTCCTATCAAGTGTCATGTCCTCAGAAATTTGAAGCCTTGCCATATCATGTCTGATCACCTCTCCCCAATACTTCTTAGGCCGCCCTCTACCTCTTCTATTCCCCTCCACTTCTAGCCGCTCGCACCTCCTTACCGGAACATCTGGACTTCTCCTCTGAACATGCCCAAACCATCTGAGCCTCGCTTCCCACATCTTGTCCTCAATGGGAGCCACGTGTACCTTCTCCCGAATATCATCATTCCTAATCTTATCCATCCTAGTGTGTCCGCACATCTACCTCAGCATCCTCATTTCTGCTACTCTCATCTTTTGGGTATTTGAATTCTTAACAGGCCAACACTCAGCCCCATACATCATTGCCGGTCTAACCATCGCTTTATAGAACTTACCTTAGAAAATCGGTGACACTCTCTTGTCACACAAGACTCCAGATGCTAACCTCCACTTCATCCATCGTATCCCAATACGATGTGTGACATCCTCGTCTATCTCCCCTCTCCCCCGGATAATCGACCCAAGGTACTTGAAGCTTCCTCTATTTGGGATGATCTGTGATTCAAGCCTCACATCCACGTCCACTTCTCCCGGCTCAGCGCTGAACTTACACTCCAAGTATTCCATCTTTGTCCTGCTCATCTTGAAACCCTTAGACTCAAGAGCTTGTCTCCAAACCTCTAGCCTCTCATTAAGACTGGCTCACGACTCATCAATCAGAACTATGTCATCGGCGAATAGCATGCACCATGGCACCTCCCCTTGAATATGGTGCGTTAACGTGTCCATCACCAAGGAGAATAAGAACGGACTGAGTGCAGAACCTTGGTGTAACCCCATTACAACCGGAAAATGTTCAGAGTCTCCTCCTACTGTCCTAACCTGAGTTTTAGCCCTATCATACATATCCTTGATCGCCATAATGTACGGTACTGACACACCTTTTGCCTCCAAGCATCTCCAGAGAACTTCTCTAGGAACCTTGTCATATGCTTTCTCCAGGTCAATAAATACCATGTGCAGATCCTTCTTCCTCTCTCTATACATTTCCACCAACCTCCGAACAAGGTGTATAGCTTCTGTAGTCGAATGACCCGATATGAATCCGAACTGGTTGTCAGATATAGACACTGCCTTCCTCACCCTTGCTTCAACCACCCTCTCCCATACTTTCATGGTATGGCTCAGTAATTTGATACCCCTATAGTTGTTACAACTCTGGATATTACCTTTATTCTTATACAATGGAACTACCGTACTCCACCTCCACTCCTCTGGCATCCTCTTCGCCTTAAAAATAACATTGAACAACCCAGTCAACCACTCCAAACCTGCTCTCCCCACGCTCTTCCAAAATTGCACCAGAATCTCGTCTGGCCCGGTCGCTCTACCCCTACTCATCTTACGCACAACTTCTATGACCTCATCAACCTTGATACACCCGCAATACCCAGAGTCACGGTGACTCTCAGAATGTTCCAATTCGTCTAGTACAATATCCCGATCCCCTTCTTCATTCAGAAGTTTATGAAAATAAATCTGCCATCTTCTCTTAATCTGCACATCCTCCATCAAAACTCTACCATCTTCATCCTTGATACATCTCACTTGGTCCAAATCCCGAGCCTTCCTCTCTCTCAGCTTAGCCAACCAGAATAACTTTTTCTCCCCGCCTTTTTTCCCTAGTTCCTCATACATACGACCATAAGCCGTAGTTTTAGCCTTCGTGACCTCCATCTTAGCTTCCTTCCTAGCTACCCTATACATTTTTATGCATGCTCACCTTTCCTTCTCACCTATGCTCCCCACTAACTTTAGGTACGCCGCCGTCTTCGCTTCCACTTTACCTTGGACCACTTCATTCCACCACCAGTCTCCTTTGTGCCCATCAGAGATGCCCGTCGAGACCCCTAACACCTCTCTCGCAGCCTCCTTTATACATTCGGATGTCGCTGACCACATAGTGCTTGCGTCGCCACTGCTCCTCCAAGCTCCCATAGCCGACAACCGCCCCTCCAACTCTTGGGCTTTATCCTTAGTTAAGGCTCCCCACATGATCCTCAGTCTTCCTCGAGCAGACCTTTTTCTCTTCTTTAACATAATACCAATGTCCATCACTAATAACCTATGCGGTGTCACGAGTATCTCATCCGGAATCACCTTGCAATCCTTCCACAACCCTCCATCACACCTCCTGAGGAGGAGATAGTCAATATGAGTCTTTGCCATCGCATTTTGAAAAGTAACCAAATGCGCCTCTCTCTTCGGGAAGCTAGAGTTCGCAATCACCAACCCAAAAGCCTTAGCGAAGTCCAAAAGTGAGGTACCGCATCCATTCCTCTCCCCAAAACCGAAGCCTCCATGCACCTCGCCATAACCACCTATGGTCGACCCAATATGACCATTGAAATCCCCTCCTATGAATAGCTGCTCAGCAGGCGGAACGTGGTGCACAATCTCATCTAACCCCTCCCAAAAGCGTTGTTTAACCTCCTCATCTAGACCCGCATGAGGCGCATAGGCGCTAACGATGTTTATGGTGCACTCTCTGACCACCAACTTAATACTCATTAATCTATCATTCACTTGTCTAACCTCAGCCACAGACTCTCTAAGTTCCTTATCCACCAAGATACCCACTCCATTCTTACCTCTTTGGACTCCTGAGTACCAAAGCTTATACCCATCCGCGTCCTTCGCCCTCGACCCTACCCACCTTGTCTCCTGGACACACGCTATATTGATCCTCCTCTTTTGGAGGATATTTGCCAGTTCTATAGACTTACCCGTCAATGTACCTACGTTCCATTACCCAATTCTCAATCTATAGACACCCTTGTTCCCTTTACCTCCCTTGCTTCCCCACCCATCCCCTAACCCCTGCCCTGCCT